AGGATTCTTGGAGATAAGTTATAATCTTTTTAAAGATTATTATTCTTTGGTGATAATGTATAATTTTCAAGAGTTTAATCCTTATTCAATTTAGAATACTTATCAAGTCATAGTAATGTCCCTATAAATAATCCACCATTCAACAGTAATAGACATAACAATCACAAAAGAGAATTTGAGAGTAAAAAGTTTTAGGTAGTTCAAGTTCAATTCCCGACAATTTTTTAACGAGATTCTCAGGCTCCAACAAGATTTTTAGATTGTGGTGACATTTTTCAATGAGCATTGAAGTTTTTGACAAGGACTCTAACAATAGTAGGTCAAATTTTGCAACAAATATCTATATTTTAATTAAATGGTGAAATTAGCCTCTCTATCTTAATATATTTAAATTAGATCCCTATACTTCATTTAATTACCAAATTTAGTCAAATTGTTAACGGTTCAAAATTTTTTCATTAAAATTGATGATGTGGCATTTTGACTTTGATGACATGGTACTTTTGTTTATGTGGCCATTGATTTTGCTAACATGTAAGGTCCATGTGGTCAAAGATGATGACATAGCAAAATTTTTTAACATATCATCTATATTTTGGTTAAGTGATGAAATTAATCCTTCTATCTTAATATGTATTCAAATTTGATCTCTATACATTAATTAATTATCAAATTTAAGATTTAACATGAAATAAGTAAAAGAAAACCAAAATAAAAGACAAAAAAAAAAGCCTTTTAAACGCAAATAGGTCGAGTCGTAAACAAAGTCAATGTATAAGTCAACATGCAAGTTGCACTAGACATGTCATTTAAAACAACGTCATTTTAACTTGTTATAAAAACAAAAAAATTATTTTTTTAATTTTTCTTTTTTCTCCTTTCTCATCCTCATTTTCCTCTTACTTCTCTTTATAAGTGTCATTCAACGAATTCATATTTCAATGAGATTTCTAGAAACTAATGATTGAAAAATTCAACGATCGTAGAAAAATTTATCCAAAAAACCCAAAAAGCATTAATACCTAAAAATCGATTGCTGTTATGTTCTTAAAATTTTTCCAAATCAATTTTTTCAAAAAATTTTAATATTTTCCTTATTTTTTTCAATTTTTGATTTCTTTTTCTTTTCTTTTTTTTTTTTCTTTTTTTCTAACATTGATTTCTTGACTTTTACTAACTAAATAACAAAATAATAAATAAAACACTTTTGGACCTTTAAATTTAGGCTTAAAATTTAATTTTACAATTAAACCCAATTGATCCGAAGTGATTTTAGAATCTAACGTCGAGATGAAATTTGAAACCCATTAAATATTGAAAAAAAATTTTAAAAAAATATAATATCTACAATTGCTCTTATTGTTAATTGTGTATCGGGTTTGTTGGTTATGGGTTTCTTAATCTAACTTTTACATTTTTGTCATTTTAAAAGTTTTGTGTATTTTATCTATTTTATTTTTTATATTTCAAAAATATCAAAAATAGAAATTAACAAAAAATGAAAAATTAAATTAAATTAATAAATAAATAAAAGATAAAAAAATATATAATTAGTTTATGTTGGGTTTATAATCTAATTTGAGATTAATGTAATTTGTCAAATTAAGTCCAATTAATAATTCAAATATCCAAAAAAAATTTATCTAAATATGAAAAAAAATGTCAGAGCCGAATTAATAATTTAAGTTTTTTATATGTTATTTTAGGTCAAATCTTAAATTCAATAATTAATTTATATATAATTATCAAATTTGAACAAATATTAAGGTAGAATAACTAATTTCACCATTTAACAAAAATATAGAGATGAGCTGTATAATTTGAGAAAAGCTAGTATGGAAAGATAATGATGTGTTAAAAAATTTTACCACATGAACTTTACACGTCAACAAAGTCAATGGTCAAGAAGTAAAAATACCACGTCAAAAAAGTCAAAATGCCACATTATCAATTTTAATTAAAAAATTTTTAAACTGTTAATAATTTGACTAAATTCGACAAATAAATGAAGTATAATGATTTAATTTGAACATATTAAGATAGAAATACTAATTCCACCACCTAACTAAAGAACATATATATGTTATATAATTTGACCCTTCCAAATTCTAACAACAATTCCCAATTTCCCTAGACATCAACTCGATCAAACCCGACCTTTAGCATATAACCTAAGACTTGTCACTTGTTGAGCCACTATTGAGCTAGGCCACTAAACCGAACCGAGTCGCTATACTTTTATTTTATTTATTTATTTAAAAATAAAAATATTTTTTTAAGAAAAATAATTTTTAAATTTAAAAAATAAAATATTACCAACATATTGGAAGGTTTGATCATTTTTTAAAATATTTAAAAATTAGAAAAATAAAATCTTACCATCATATTGGAGGGTTTTGAAATTTAAAAAAAATAATAATTTTTAAAAAATAAAAATAAAAATAAAATCTTACCAATATATTAGAAAGTTGTGTGATTTTAAGTATTAAAATAAAATTTTATCAATATATTAGAAAATCTTATTGATAAAAAATATATGTTTTGAAAAAAATAATTCTCTTAAATCTTACCAATATATTGAAAAATATTTTTCAATATTCTCTTGAATCCTACCAACATATTGAAAAATATTCTCTTATAATTAAGTTAAAAATTCTTACCTATTAAAAATATTTATTCTTAAATAAAATTAATTATTAAATAATTCTCTAATCAATAAAATTTTATTGAAATCCAAACTTATTTTCAATTAAAACTTAAGAGTTAATATCTAACATGTTACCCTTCAATGAGAAGGCTAAGGTCCAACGAAGTTTAAAAGAAATAGCTCTTGTTGAAAAATTAGAGCAAGTAGATTCAAGGACAAGAGAGGAACATGTATTTGGTTAGTCCACGTTGATGGAATTAGCTGCTTGCTTCTCGAAAAGTATCACCTTTTTTTCTTTCTTCAAGAATGTACTTAAGGGAATAATCCTAACTTGCGGGCATAGATGCAATCATACAGAAGTTAACTTCGAGGCTGCTTTCTGATCACCAACCCTTTCCGCTTTATCTTCTTCGGAATCTTTGTCAATTGAATTGTACATGATAATTTTTGTATTAGTAATTTATATATTTATATCATATTTATATAAAAATTATATGCTACTTTGTGTTAATATAAAAATTACAAAATACATTTTTTAATGTTTATTAAATTCTTATATGATTGTTATAAAAATTTTAATTTGTTACCTTTATATATTTTTTTTATAATTTTCATGTCATCTTTTTAAATTTCTATATCTAAATTGAACTGCTCGGTAGAAAATTACTGAAAGTAGTAAACCCTCCACTAAGAGGCTAGCTTTTTTTGGCCCCTCCAGCAAAAATTTTATCCAAATATACTGAACGAAACATGATCCTCGTAGCAAACCTGAAAAGAAAGGAAGAATCGAACGATGAATAGAGCCACCGAACTACTGATATACGATGGTAGCACATCAGCCCAAAAAAAGGAAAAGCATGTGGTTCACATTCAAAAAGAAAAGAACCATGGTGCTGCCAAGTGGCTAATGCTTAAAAACATTTTTCTTCTTTTTCCTGCTGCCAACAAATGCAGGAGCTTTTCGCTTTCAGGTTTTCCCTGATGTAACTGCTGAAATGAAAGATGAAGGCGTCATCAGCTTGCTTCGGAGTAAGTTATTATTCCATGGATGAACCTAGAGGTCCAAAGGTTTGAGATCAAACCTTGCCTTCACCAGGGTTGTTTCCTGTTGGCATAGGCCAATCATTTCAAATGCCACCCATTGCATTGCATCGCATCAAATGTAACAGGCAAGAGGCTGAGACGCTGAGCATTTGAGGTTCGGTTTTCACGTTGTTTCCTAATTCCATATATTTACCTGTTTCTGGATTGTGGAGATGGAAGATTTTCAGAGTCAGAACTTTTTCAAACATTATTAATGCTAAATGTATAAACAGTTGCCATGGCTGCCGTTCATCATCATCATCATCATCATCATTATCAATTTCGCTATCAACTAAAGCCTAGGTCGAGAGGTGTAATTTTCCCTAATGACATCGATGCACGATTAAAAACACTTAAAAGGAGAAGGCTAGTGAAAAGATAACCAGTTGATGAGACAAAATTAAAGAGTTTGATACTTATGTTTGCCAATGCTACTTTCTGTTTCATCTGCAACAAAAAAAAAAAAAAAAAAAAGCGAAGAAATAATTACTACATTACACCCTATTCTTATTTAAACTATGATAATTATTAACACTGCCTAATTAAATTCAAGATTTGATGAAAGACAGTTCCAACTTTAGCCAACAAACCATTTTTTTTCAAAGAAAATTACAGATTGAAAAAAGAATTATAAGTATTAAAATTTAAACCTTGAATATATTAGATGTTATTTTTTAAAAATAATTATTTAAATCAACTCTCATGCATTTGAATTAGGCTCCGGTTCATCTAGCAACCCAGTTTACAACACCTTTTGTCTTTCTACTTTATTTCACTTCTCTTTCATCACAACTGCGCTTGTAATAAATAGAAGTGAAGTAGAGATCACTAACAGAAAGTGCCAAGCGAAGGCGATTGCCTTGAAACTTAATTTGACCGTTGTGAACTTGAAAGAGCATAAGGAAAAAAATTGTGATCTGAATTTTTATATGCGAAAAAGTAACTGAAACAGTTGATCTTGTGCCTACTCCATTGTCAGGTGCCTCCTAGGAACGACAATCCTCGGAAAATATTGACTTGTTACCATAGATAGATCATTCGTGTTCTCTGTTCTATAAAATATTTATAAATATGTTCATATTTTACACGAAAATTATATATTATAATTCATATTAATATAAAAAATACAAAATATATTTTTTAATTTTTATTAAAATTTTAGATTATATTAGTTTCAATTTTTTTTATTATTTTTTATGATGTTTTGAATTACCAAATCCACGTATAACCGATAAATTGGAATTTTCAATTTCCTCGAATTCATCAAATATGTGAGCCTTTCTTGCTATGCTCATTAAATCAACCTTATAAACTGTCTATTTTATTATCACACCCCTTAGTGGAAGGGGGGGGGTTGAAAGACTGCACCTGCCTTGAAGAACTGGAAATCTTGTTACTCTATACAAGAAAGAAATACGATGATATGCCCTTTTAAAACTCTGAAGAGCGTCAGTGTAGACGATTTCGTCAACCACAAAAATAATCAAAGAGGCAATCATCAATGTGTAGATCATTTTGAAACAAAAACTTTAAAAGCATGCCATTAAATCTTCCATTGAGAAGATCAATGTATAGTCCCAATAACAAAAGCTATATTGTCACTGAACGTCATTTATTAGAACATAGGTAGGTATATAAGCCTTAAGTTTTCCAGGTTAGAAACCACCTTGTTACTTACAACACAGTATCTTTATCATCTTCGACATCAGTGGTCTTTCCTTTTCCCTTCTTCACATCCCGTCAAGACAAGTAATAAACTTAACAACCTTATTAAGGATTGATTTGGTTTAAATATTCCATGGTGATGTTAAAGCAAGACTCTCATCATCTACAGAAAGCATGTAAATCCCAAGAAGACTATGCGGTAATCCTTGCTCAAGATGCTAAACTCTAGGCTTCTGCAACTATCTAAATGAAAGGGAAATAGAGGGTGACACCGAGCTGAAGAGTCACCCAAGTGAATCAAATTTCCTCAACAAATATCCTAAGGAAACAAGAGAACATTCAAATTATAATGAAGCTTTGTTGATAAACAAATCTGTAAGTCATATAAGCTGCCATTTAAAGTTGTTGGTAACAAGAGAGTGAATGGTTGCAGTTAGGACCATCCAATATAATACAAAACAATAAGGAAAAAAATCAGAGTACTGTTGTCCTAAATGCTGCCAAATCATTTTGCAACCTTCTCCATTCAGAAAAGAATAAACCAGTTTGACCATATTCTCAGCTAGATAAAAGTTGAAAATATGAAGTAATATATATTTCAACTCCATAACAGAAAATAGTAGTAACCAATTACCTCCTAAGTTATCACAAGCAGATATGAAGGTAAGAGTGTTGAGAGAGAGAGAGGGAGAGCACCTTTTAAAGCTTTTTCTGGCGTCTTATCTTTGGAATTTTCAGGTCAACAACAATGATGGAGATGTTATCATAACTACATGCATCAAGAGCTTGCTTAAGAACCTGCTGAGAAACATACCAAGCAGGTGATGGACTATCATTAACCCCACGAAGCCTCCGTTGCTGTCTTAGTTCTTTGCAAGCTAACTTTACAACCTCTTCATTGGAGAAAACATCCCACAGGCCATCACTTGCCAAAATCAGACATTCATCCTCTTCGGTCCTAGTCAAGAAAGTAACTTCAGGCACTGAAATTACCCATGGTTTCAAATCATGATCACCTGAAGTCAAACCATGCAAATTAATAATGTAACAATTATTCATGCAATCAATCAACGGAAGTATAATATAATGCAAATGAAGCTAAAATATATGGCTCAAAATTTTGAGTTGTGAAATTCTAGGTCAACCAGATTTTAAGTTGGAGGAGGAAGACAATGCAATATCATTTGATGACACTTACTTGGACTGTAACATAGAACTTGATATATACATATAAAATCATCTGATTTGATTTTGCAATTCTTCTGGAAAACCATTTTGATAGAAGAAAGTTGACAGCTTTATGAAGTAAAGATGTGTTACAAAATATATAAGATGACTCGAGAACGGGCCTCATTTTTTACCAAATAAGAGTCATCCAATAGACAAAAGTCATTGACATAGTGTATTCTAAATCTAAAAGGAAGCCATAGTGGTGTCTATGTTAAGATAAACATATACATTGTTTTACAATCTAATGATTTGCTCTATGATGCCTGGAGTAGGCGTGAATGAGATATGACTCCGTGTTTGATACAGATGTGTTCAAATTTCCCTAAGATTTTCCTTATATTTGGAGGGTCCTGCCTCACGTATGCCCACTTTGATGTGTTGGACACATACTTGACACAAATTGTACAGGAAAAACGAAGAGCAGTATATGCTGCTTCTGTCATACTTGCAGATTGGTTCAACTGTGTGTCTCCAGTTTTTATTCTTTGAATGAAAATAAAGCCCGAGAAGCTATCATATTGGAGGGAATTCAGCAAATGAAAGATGAACAACCATTTTTTTTTGGCTGGAAAACAAATTACTAACATGAATTAAAGTTGTATAGCAATTCTCTTGCTCATGCCATGGAAATAAGGAAATAATTGGGTGTAATAGAAGCAAGAAAAACCTATTGCTCTTGACATGGAAAGAACTCCCTCCACCCTTAAACAGCCCCAGTTTAGAATTCTACCTCCGCTACTAGTGATCCTTTCTAACTCATCTTCTCGGTCAAGCTGCAAAAAAAACAAGACCAAATATTTAGCAAAATGATAACAAAAGAAAAGGGAGGCACCAGGAAACACTGCATAGGTTTGAACTATACAGTGAAGGATGAGTGTTCTTGTCAGAGATAAATAGGACATAGCAATAACATATACATTACCTGATCAGATATATGGGCCATACTTTGGATACCGTGACAAAGACAAGACAGCTTAAATTATTGTTAAGCCTGTAGTAGCTTATGATAAATCATGAATGTACTCCTCTTTCATTCATAAAGTAGGAATGTGTTTGATACTTATGATGAATCATGCAAGTAGTTCTCATTTATTCATAAAAAGACAAATGTCTTTGAAATAATAATTGATAAGAAAAAGCACAATGTGAAATGCCTGTGACACAACAAGTGAAGTACATATCAACTCTGATGTGCAAGGATTAACCACAAATCAATAGGTGCATATATCAGTGCTAATGGTAAAGACAACCAGATAAAGGGATGACTTCAAAAATGACAATTTATAGGATTTTTCAAATCCTCCTGAAAGGAAGAACGTATAATCATTTTCCTTTACGCAGGATCCAGAGATGGAATCGAAATGTAAGCCATAAGAAGAATGCTTAGCTGATAGATAATTTGCTTCTTGGTCTTCAACCACATCAATCACCACAAATGCCCCTAATCGATGCTATGGCAATTGTCTATTTGTTTATCTCTCGACTAGAAATGAGAGGAGGTTTAGAAAAGAATCTTATAGTGTTTAGGATTGGGTCCAGAGGGTCTTTTAACATGATGATTGCCCAAATAAAGGGCAAGAACTGCAAAGAAACAAAATGAAGGAAAAAAAAAAAGGAAAAGAGAATGACCTTACTTTTGGAACATACAACCTTAATAGTAAATGGAGAGATGAAACTGAAAAACATTGAGAAACCTTGTGGTCAGCTGTCAATGGTATTGCTTGTGTCCCACGACAAAGCACAGCCCTGGAGTCACCACAATTAGCAGCAATTATCTGGCAGGCCGATACAATCAGTACCAAAGCAGTCGATCCAGCAGACTTGGGTGCTAATGCCTCGTCTTTGAAGGCATTATCAGCCCTCTCATAAGCCTTGCACATTGCAACCTCCCACCTCTTACTCCATCCATCTAAAGTACTTCCTCTTTCCCACTCCTGTGCCACAATTTCGCAAAGCTCATTTGCACAATAGGTACTCACCTGCAAAATACCATCCAAATGAGAAAAACCACATCAATATGATTGCCTTTACATTTTTTGGCCATTACTTAGGAGTTGATCATTTTCAACATTGCAAAGTCATCAAACCACTTTCACCAGTGCAAAAAACTTGTTAGCGGCTTACATTCTACTCCAAAGACCAACTGAACAAGTGAACTTTCTTCCTAGATGACAATAACTTCTAAAGTTACTACTCTCTTAATCATTAACGTCTCCAATATTCTCCCATATTCAAACCACTTTCACCAGTGCAAAAAACTTGTTTGTAGCTCACAGCCTACTTTACTTTACAGAGCAACTGAACAAGTGAACTTTCTTCCAAGATGACACTAACTTCGAAAGTTACTACTTTCTTAATCATTATGGTCTTCAATATCCTACCATATTCAGACACAAACTAGAGCAAAGATAAGCATATTTTTAATAGACATCATGTCTCATGTGACATGTCAAATATCAAATATGAGGTTCCTGACTGTATCAACAAACCATATAGAAAAGCAGTGTCTACTAAGATAAAAATTAGAGAACTTACATGAAGAAAGGAGAAGAAAAGATGGGTATAACCACAGAGCAGTAAAAGAGAGAACAAAAGATAGGTATAAACACAAACAACCTATTGCTTAGAAAAGTACTTAGCAATCCTTATTGCTTCTGAAGACTCCTTCCTATAGTACATGTAGGGATGTAATTTTGGATTGAGTTGTATGCAAGCTAAACACTCAGCTCATAAGTTTGTTTAAGGCTTGTTTGTGACTCGTTTATGAGTTCAATGGGGCAAGCCGCAAGAAGAAAGAGTACTAATTTCAAGTACATGTTCTCTATTAATTTTAGTTCTTTATAATTTTTTTCTTTAGTATGTTTAGTTATGACATGGTGTTTGTATGCACTATAACATACTTATATTATAATTAATAGACCTTCTTAGAAGGAGAAATAAAATTGGTTGCAACTTCAACAAAACATGTTGATAGTTTAAACATTTCTACACAAAGTAATCAGCTCTAAACATTAATATTTTAAAATATAAATTGACTAAAAATATAATCTTTATATCATTAGAGAATTCATGATGTACAACAAATGATACTATGGTTCATTAAAATTCATGAGTAGGAAGTTATTTTCCGTTGACTCAAAATATGGACGCACCTTCAACAATGTCAAATTAAAATTTCAATATCCTTCAATAATTAAGTGGAATTAGATCATCATATTTGTTTGTACAAGAAAAAAACAATCATGATATTCCCACAATTGGAAAATTTTACATTAGCAAACACCTTCAGTTCAACAAAATCATTCAAAAAATTTTCCAATAAGTCAAAGATGGGAAATCATTAGTGTGGGATTGAGGGATAGTGGCAAAATATTCTACAATCCCACATCTAATGCAAAAGAAAGGTCACAAATAGAACCCACCGATAAAAAGGACCTTGCACTTTTTATTTCCTAAAAGCTAGGTTCGCGCTTAACGGTCTTTTGACAAGCTGAGCTTGAGTTCGGAAATTGGAGCTTCTTTTGAGCTTGATTAGGGCTTGAACTCATCAAAGGCCCAATCCAGCCAAGCTCAAGCCAGCTTCCCTTGTCTATACACCTCTAAAACCAGTTAACTGTTTGATATTTTTGCAACAAGCATAATGTTTGTTTCAATGTTTATAGGCTATTAAATGCAATTAATGCTTATCCCAAAAAGCCTATAAATTTAGATAATGGTACAAATCTGTTTATCAGGGCTATGTTTTAACTAGAACATATTTCCCACTATTTTTTCATTACTTTACAAGCTTTTACCACCAATTATTCTGTTACTTTTTTACAATTCATTACTATTAAAGAAGATTAAAAAAAATTCCCATAAATTAAGTAAAAATTTTTCAACTTAAAACTCATAAGCTAACAATCAGACCCAAAAGATAATAGAATCATGTTAATAATTTTTACAGTAATTATAAACAACACTTAAGTCAAACTACCAAATACTTATTGTGTTGGAATAATGTTGTAAATAAAGATTGTTATTAAGGATTTAGCAACAGGAAAATGAGACAAATTTTTACTGTTCTTTATCTGATAAGTTGTATACGGAAGATCTACACAGTAACAATTTACAAAGTTACTAATATTTTGAAGCAATTAGGACTAAGAATTCAAAACATAAAATCAAATAAGATAGAGTAATACAAATGTGTAGAAATTTCTAATAAAACCATTACTTGAATCACGAAAGGGAAATGCACACCAAGTAAAAATGTCATGTTATACCTAACTCAATGTAAATGGAGTAAAGGGAACTTGTGGTTATTTAGTTCTATATTTCTCAATTGATATCCCCATAATCAATTTGTTTGATATAGTATCACATGGCCGAATCCAAGTCCAATTTGGACAAAGCACTAAGCTGTATTTGTCAAAATGGTACTTGCCGAGACCTCTTTTCATGCCTATCTTTCCCTTCTTGGGCTGACATTTTCTTTCAGATAAAGTACAAAAGAAATGATAAAGAGATTTATGACAACTATGTCGATAAATGTCTACTTTACTAAAGTCCATTGCGTGCAAGACTTTCTTCAGGCATTGGAGATTTTCTTACCTTTAAATAAAGAATCATAACATTGTTTAAAACATAGCACAACTGTTATTATTATTTCCTTATATTCTTTTTTTGAAGGGTTACAAAAGAGGGTTAACAGCCCAAAATACTGTCCAGGATCACAACACCCTCCATCCTCTTACATGTAATAGAATTCACTCAGAAGGGAAACTAAAATCACTTTGTTAAATAAAATAGTTGGTCCATATATGCCAGCAGATCAGCACATCTATTTCCCTCATGAAAGACATGTGTAATCTCCACAACTTCAACCTTCCTTACCAGGAACTTACGATCTTCTAAAATCCTCCTGTGGATGGTCCTTTCCAAACCAACCAAAACTTTTGATCCAATTCCACCACAACAGATTATGTACATATCTCATGGACAAGCAATAAGACCTTCTTCAAAGCCCATATATCCACCAATAAGCTATCAACTCCACCAGCCAGCCATAAAACCCTTCACCCTGGTACCATGCTGATCTCCGATTAAGCCCCCAACACTAGAAAATTTAGTGGTAACTTTCTTTGCTCTTCCATGTTTAACTTGAACACATTTTCAAGGGGAGGATTCCAGGCTATCCAACAACACGGTCTATTTGTGTCCAGCAGCAACACTTGTATGTTCCTACAATTTTCCTGGCTGTTTTTGACGCCCTAAAAAGAACTTCATTATAACTTACCTTCTACTATCAAAGACTCACCAATTCCTAGCTCTTCATGTCTACCAAATCACAAACTCAAATACTACTGACCAAAGGATAACTCATCTACCAAAAGCTTAGAAAAAAAAAGACTATATTTCAAACCTACTCCTCATGTTTGTGGCACACTCACCCTCCGAACATATGCAAGTAATGGATAAATTAGAACAATATGATCCAAATCTTCACTCCCTCCCTAATCTACATGTTTGTGGCAAACTAATCCTCAAAAAATATAATCCATGGATGTTTATCAATGATATTTCTGCTGAAGCTCTCGTTATTGATCACTCTATACCGCATTCTACCCAAATAAAAATCCAGAATTATTCTGGACATTTCAGTTTCCATATCCACTGCCAGTTCTCATTCTGAACCTAGACACGTCCTATCCCTGAAAAATTTATATGCTGATCTTACAGGAAATATGGCCCTTTGGCATGGAACTATATACTTCTCTTTTTGCTGTTTTTATCATTTCTCGTCAAGTAACATCATGCTTGTCCTTTTAAATTTTCATTTTTCATAATCATAATTAATTTCAGAGTCATAACAATCTGATTCAAACCCACATGAAGGAAGAGTCTAAGGACACTAAATATGTACCCCAAAAAATGTCTCCTCTAGGATGGATCTTCCTTTTTGACTCTACTAGCTTAATTACTTAGTATTATCTCAAATGTAACTTTAAGTCATCCCTCATGTTGCCAATTTATTGTAAATCTTTAGCTAATTAGTTAGTTCCAATTAATGATCCCAAATATCTTTCTGATTATCTTGTAATGGACGGTGACAGAAGATTCACTAATTATTTTTCATTGTTATAGTTATTTAAAAAAAAAAGAACCTTAACTATTTAAAGCAATCAACCAAATTCTTTAAATATGTTAGAAGAGGAGGCATTATACTCTTTCACTCTTTCAAATAGCCATAATGCAGGTTACCTGTTTAGTCAAGTTAAAAGACCCAAAGAAGTTTCACTCACAGCCACTCATCATAAATTTGAAATAGCAAAGCAGTTTCCACCAATTGTAAGTAGCATTTCACATAAAAACATAATGAGACATTTTTTACTTGACCAATTCGCTAATAGATTCCCTTTCACTAATCAAATTCTTTATATGTATTATTCTATAGCTATAGAGACTAAGAGTAATTAATTTCCTAATATTAGCATAATAAACAAAAATCAAATAATCAATTTTTGATGCATATATACAAAGCTTATCCATACTTGTAAAGCCAAAACTGAGCTCCATTTGATAATAAACATTGAAAATTATAATAAATAATGTAAAAACCCAACCACTTATTGCATTCCATTCCTCGTAAGCAGCCCCCATAACTTGCTAAAACAACATTCCTCGAAGACAAATGCCTGCAACTGATAACTTCAAGCCACACAACCATAAACACCTTTAACAAACAGATGCACTGAAGCAGTCCAAATTTTGCAAACATTTCCCTCCATATCACAACATCAATGCTCAAAATATAAATATAATATAGACCCTTTTTAGCAGATTTTCAAGAAAAAACTCAGAGTGCTATTTATCATATAAGAATTCTATAGTAAAAGCACAACAAAGAAAATCAACATAGGAAACTATTAAATTTCAATCAACAAACAAAAAAAAAAACAAAAAACAGAAAGAAAGAAAGAAACTTTAATATATTTCCTAAACACAATTAATCAAACCCACTTTTAATTCACCTGAATCCACAAGAAGAAAACCCTTAAAGTAAAAAAAAAAGGAAAAAAAAAAAGATCAATTTCAATAAATTCAAAAGTTAGAATGGATATGAATGTCGGTGAAATAGTTACCTTATTGGTTCAATTTTCTTTTTTGTTTCCTGTAGCTTTCTCTCTTGCTTTTTTTTTTTTTTCCGGAGGAACAAACATAGGGCTTTGAGATTTTGTGGAGCAACCATTTTAGGGTTTTTGGTTGTTGAGGAAAGAAACCGATCGAATTGGGAAGGCCTGTGCGTTGCGCCAGAAGTACTGTAAAAAGAAACCTCGAAAAAAGAGACGTTGGGTTTTCAATTTAAAACTTTTAACAGAAAATTGCCCTTCAGTGGCCGCTTAACAAGAATTTCACATTTTATTTTCTCCCAAGTCCTAACAACGGTATTGTGTTGAAATTGCAAACATACCCAAAATTTGTCTTCCTTTTTCAGAATTTACTCTAAAGTTTTTGCCATATGAAATTACACTCCGCATGTGAAACTCACTCTTTATATTTTAAGATAACAGTGTTGATTAAATAATAATTAATATGATAGTATGTTTTCAATTCCTGATGGTTTGTCTGCTAAGATCGTAATATATTAATTTTAATTTAAGATTATGAGATATTATGATATATTGTGATAAATTATAAGAACAATATAATTTTTAAAAAATAGGTAAACATATAAACATTAAAAAATATATACATAATTTTATTTAATTTATCAATTTAACAAATAAAAATTAATATATTTTTTAATTTTATAATATCAATTTATTTTACGAATATCAGCTTAATATTCAAATTATTTGGTTGTAAAGAAATTTTTTATTTATTGTAAATCTTAGCATGATAGAGAAGTGATTGAGAATGAAACAAAACTAAATAATAGTAAATGAAAATTAAAAATGTTGATGTAATATTTGATCCGACAAGAATGAAAATTTCAAAATATTATTTCGGACATCTTTTAACTTTCTTTCTTAGTTTCTAACAAGATCCAATCTCGTCAAATTTTTAAAAGAAGAATTTAAAACATTGTTTCCTCCCGTGGGACTTATGTTGTTGAAGCATTCATTTAGGAATTGAACTTCTGGAATCCTTTTACTTACATTGAAAAATAAAGAAAAAAAAAAGGCAAAAAAAACTCAAAATAATTCTTTACATTGAGTTATACATGTAAAGTATACCATATTTGTTAAGGATTTTTTTGTCATAAAAGGAAAGTCACTCTATTCTTAAATGCAAAGGCATATATATAAAAAATAAAAATAAAAACTATATATGATATGATCGCGAAAACCACATTCATTTTATGGAAAAACAAAATAGATGTAACAAACCGAAACCTCCTACTTTAATCATCAAATGAAAGAACCAAAAATTTTATTAAACAAAAAAGATTTTCATTTGTCAAGCGATGATATTAAATGTCAATTGACTAATTACCTGGTCACCTCCATGCCCATCAAATATGCCAAAGAAATGCACAGGCGATTTTTTCGTGGCGTGTTCACACTCGGGTGCCATACATCCACCAACATCCTTACAACAAACCTCCATAAACCCTGGATGAACCACGGCCGCATCCTCCATTGTTGACCGCCTTCCTTGCTCCATGCAGTATCCCCACGATACACCCTTGTTGCTTCTCCCGATGCATTTTGCTGCTCTTTTGTCTTCCAGAACAGCAATATCGTTACAATTTGTGTTAGAGCTCTCTGACGCTGTAACCACAGCAGTATTAGTACTGATTTCGGTCTCAACATTTATGGTATCGGTTGAGGGGACAATGGTGGTGGAATTGGCGTTGGAATCCATTGGTTTTGGATTGGATTCCTTGACGACGGTGGCGGTGGTGTCTTTCTCGAGGGTTTGTTCATTCATGACTGTGGATACGCTTGCCATTGAAAGAGAGATTAAATACAAAAACGAGAGGAGGGAATGAGAGAGAGAGTAAAAGTTTTTAGAGAAACGGGTGATGTTGGAGAGGAAGAGAGGGAATTTAAGTTAAAAGTGAAAGGGTTTGCAGCAACGCGTGGAAAGAGCTATGTGAACATACATGGCAGAAGCTCTCTTCGTTGCATGGCAAAGGTTTAATGTCACGGCCATGGAAGCAACTGTCAGTGAACTTCCAATGATTTGGTGCCTAGTAATATAAGGGTTATTGACAAGTGCCTAGTAATATAAGGGTTATTGACAGAGTTTCAAATTGGGGAGGCAATTTCAGGGATTCCTAACAGGCATACAGGGCTTACAACACAGCGATGCCCCTCCAAGGGCTAACTATCCCCATTTGTAGAATGAATTTAAGGATGCCAAACTAAGGTACAAACAGGCTGACGTACCAAAGCCTTCGGTCACTACACCGTGTGTCCTATTGCTACTGGTCATCAGATCTTAGAGTCATAATCATCGAATTCTTTCAATTAAATTAATTTACCTGCAGGTAAATTTAAGCTTTTGCAGGTTTTTGGTAGAAACATGATGCTGTATATAGCGCCTTCGAATATTGGAAAAGTGAAAAAATAAAAAATAAATAAGTCGCCAAATGTAGATTTTTTATTGAATTTGTTAGATTTCTTTCTCACATTCTTCTTCAGAGGCAGAGACAGGTAAGAAATGAATTTGCTCTCAAATATATATGATTATGGGTTTGAGTTCATCAATTAATCCAATTAAATACGTGATAATTTGAAAATTAAAATATGGCTTTTAGTGGAAAAATTCAATCGATTAATATATTTCATCATTTTTAAAATACAACATTCAATAAATTTAAAATTCAATCTTAATTCTTACTAAATTTTGATTTCTTTTATAAAAAAATATTCAGCCGATGTGTAAAGGTATCAATTACTTAATTCAGTTTCTATGAAAATATAATATAGTATATGATAAAGTTTGTTAGAGATTACTAATCAAATGGGAAGTACTTTAGCTAGTAACTCTTAACGAAAAATTATAATCTTCAGGTCTCAACAAGGACAGGAAAATGGTAGACATTAACCAAACCTGGGATTTGCTAATTTTGTAGTTCTATGAGGCGTTTTGCAATTAGGACCGTATAGGCTAAATCTCATTTTTCCCCCCATTACATAAAACACTAATAGATCAGATTAGGCTATTGCTAATACCGATGTTTTAAAAATGTCAACAGAACCTAAAGGAATGATAAGGAGAAGAGCCTAGCATTCACTGACAAACCCATTTGATTATTAGGATCACTGGCTGTTAACAGTTAGAATGAATAAATATTTCCCATAAATTGATCTTGACCTATATTGTAAGGACCAGAAATTTCATACTATCAAAAAATTAAAACTAAATACCTTAGAGAAGATATGGTAATGCAAAAAAATAATTAACCAAGATAAGATAGAAGTACCGCCCTCCTTCACTGCAGTTCAAACCGCTTGAATTGCACCAGTCTTACCCTTGCTCAAATCTGTGCCACCAACAGGTGTGTTTGCATGAAATGCTGATTGTCGTAACGGTTCTCTTAGCAGTTTCAACGATAGTGGTGAAAGCTCTTTATGGACATTCTCAGTATCTCCTATGCTAAGCTTGGACATACCAACTAGTTCATCCACATTGACAGGTTTCTTGGGAAGCAATGGAATTGGCTTCAGTACCTGATGTTGAGATGCCTGCATGCCCTTCTCTTCAACAGGATGGGCATGATATGGGGGCCAAAATGGGTAATGAACAGGTACATAAGGGGAGAAGAAACCATGGACCATTGGTGTGAATCCACTTGACTCCATCATGGTTTCTTCTGCTTTTTGTGCAGCAGCTTCTCCATGCTCAAATTCAGCGTTAAGAGAGAGATTTAATGAAGGTATTGAATTTGCATTATCTGCTTCCTCTACCTGTGAAGAAGGTAGCAAAACTTGTTCTTCAGGCACTGTGGGAGTATCTGTAGCCTGCAAAAGATTTTAAAAAAAAAATGATCAAACCAGAATCAATGATAAAAGAATAACGTTCAATTAGTTTAGAAAATATAGAAACTAGCCCCAACCCAAATGGCATATGCACCCGAGTATCCAAGCAAATTTAATCGGAATTCAACAACATGAACCCAATTGAAATGAAAACCAAAACAATATGAACCCAAATTTGACCAAGAACCAAAATCAATTGTTATTTGTTAGCAAAGAAAATGCAACAAAGGTTAATCTAAACCTGCACAAAGCCCAAACTCAAATTGTCTCAAAAGTCAACAACTCATATGCCAAATAACTTAACCTAATCCCATCCAAAACCAAATTGTCACTTCTTTAGATTGTATATGCTTTTAATCTACACTGCTACAGAGTGCATATCATTTTATTTTTACATGCACATTTGTAGATGATCACAATATGCTACTTGCTAAATCCCTTCCGTTTTGGACACTGGACAGAGGCATTCACTTAGCATGATTACAAATTTATCTTCATTACATTGATTATGTGGTTGTGTGCAGATAGACTGTGTTGCATGCCAAATCTAATGTGCATAATAGGCTGTATTGCTACTTTTGGCAAATTTTAAAGCAACATAAAGAAGCAAGACAAACCATATCATCTGGAACCATGTCAAAAAGGCTCGAACGTCTCTTTCTTCGGGTAACATTACTCTGACGGATGAAATACTTCTGGGCATGGCTTGCTACCTGAGTAGGTGTCCTTGACATAACAAAGTTTCGGGCTATCCCGCGCCAATCCCCTTTCCCTAATTTATGGAGGCCAATTAGAAAGAGTCGATGTTCCTCTTCAGTCCATGGGACACCTGTAAATCAACCAAATTTTAAGTGGATATCTCCAAATATCATGGCCAAGGATCAATAATTTACTCAAGTCCACATATATGTTTATCCCACAGTTAAACTGATAACCCATCCCCTGTCCTTTCCTCCATCATGGCTGACTCAAAGTTATAAGGTACAAAGGGTCAGTGAACCAGTGATGTTCAAACAGAAACAATGCAATATTTAGCCTTCTTGGAAATTCATTCCTTGCTTTGAAGCAAATAATGCATATAGCTAAAATACATACTACAAAAGATAACCAGAATGTAAACTAATTATCCAAAAAATGGTACTGCTGGAGGTATATCCAGTGGACTTGGATGCCCTCATCAGCCGTGAAGAAAGGAAGAAAATAGGTGATAGAACCATCTTAAAACACAAAGCATATCAATTGTTGCTTCCAACCCAGCACATAATCAACAGATTTCTGCGAAAGTATCCAACTACCAACAATACATTTTTATGAAACTCAATGCAATTCCAATAATATATTTGCAGAAATTGATGCAATTGAAAAATTGAAACTTCTATATGAAATCATATTGCATTAACTAGATCAAAATTGGCTCCAGAAAATCGAGCAGAATATGCTGCTCAGAGTTCACAGCCATAAGCCAATTTCCCAAAACAATAAGTTAAGACACTGTCAAAGCCTCAATCTTCCAAGCCACTACTATACACTCACAATTTACTTATAAAGAAGCTCATTTATAGATCACTCAAATAACTCATGCCACAAGGTAAGAATCAACTTATTCAACACTTGTGGCAGCAAGTAGTGTCCTATCAAAAAAATAATAAATTAAAGTTAATCTAAGGCTTAAAATTACCTTAACAGTATGGAACAAAACCCACATAAAAGACAGCCAATCAAAATTGAAAAGGCATCCAGGTTCTCACCCAGACACTAATTTCTTTTTCCCATGGATGACAATTCTGTCAGGAACCTAACTATTGAGGGAAACTGAAATCAGCAAGTATAAATCATTACATATCAGTTTCAGAACTAAATGTTCATTATAGGAGGTTGTAGGCCAAAATTAAAGCTCCAAGTACACCTATCAGTGACTCGGCACTTCTCATTTTCTAAACACTCTTCTGACGTGAGTTACTATTAACAGCTGGTTGATTGAATAAAATAAAAAAAATTGAACAAACTTGAAAGCAAAAAAAGTCACTTTAGCTTCACATCATGTACCAAGAGCCACAGTGTTTATGTGCTGCTACTCCCACATGAACGGGCATGCAATAAACCACATAAGACATCTTAAATTGTTCTCTGAGCAGTTAGGTATCTGTCTTTGAAAATGAGCGAAAATCACAATAGCACAAACATGTCTCAAAACCAGAAAGCACAAGCCACATTTTAGACTTTTCACCCTGAAAGGTGAAAGCTCGCATTCCTCTAAACAAAGATAATTTTATTGCCTTGAAAGCTCCATTCACGGTTCAGACATGGTGTAGTAAAAGAGTGATTCAATTACAAAGCAGCCTATTATCTAATATCCCTTATTCATGTGGTCCTCAAATGGCCAAACTACCCATAACAATAAGTTTTTAAAAAAAATTAAAATATATAGAGGAGAGGGAGCTAAACTAGGCGAGGCTACTCAAAAACAGGGGAAAACAAAAGTACCCACTTTCACTAAATCAAAGAAATGGACTAAAATATGAATTAATCTCCTTTCTCCAGCTTTTTTAGCTTCATACACATGCTGGAATAATTATTCATTTCCAAATCATGGTTATTTAAAAAAAATTAAACATAGATTACTAAAAGTAATCGTACGGTACTACTATTTAATACCATTTAAACAAATAAAGGTATATTAAAACAAGTTTAATCCAAAAAATAAAGAAAAACAAGACCATTTTTTAGCTGTACGAAGTTTTTAAGCTTTGTCCAGTACATTTCTCTTCTACTCAGTTCAAACAGGCTTATTTATTTCCTACCTAATGAACTTACGATAAATTACTTTCGCACAACCAAATTTTCTAAAACCCCAAAACACAGAAAAGGGAAAAACTATGCACTCAAAGCTTATGACAACATTTTACTAAAAATCAAGAATTTAACATATTATACATAAATAATTGGGCAAAAAAAAAAATAACATATTATTCCTTCTCATGTAATTTTTCTCATACATAAATTGCCTAAAAGGAAAACACTTAATAAGTATAATTAATACGAAAGATAAAATAAACATTTCTTTTATTTACTCCGGCATAAAGATGAAAATAAATACTACCAAATCCAAAAGGGATAAAGAACTTATCCAAAACCGAAATAAACAAACCTTAAAATCCAAAAAAAAAAGGATAAACAATAAAAAGACTTAAAACGCGGCGTTTGAGTTAATCACCTTTCTTTCTCTCTCCGCGACGGTTAGTTGAGGCGTTTGCAACGGGGTCATCAGAGAGGTAGCCATCGGGCACGTGGTTCGGGTCACGGACATGATCCGATAAAGGAGAGTCCGGATTGGGCGAAGCGGCGGCTGATGACGAGCTATGGTAGTGGGCCGACGATAAATTTCCCATACTCGCACTCTTCTTGATTATCGAACCATCCGTCAGACGAACGCCGAATAGCTTCAATCCGCCACCGCCAACTACGAAGTTTCCACCACCACCGCGCGTGGGACAGGTGCGGGAGTTGTGGCCGTTGTTGCCGCAATGCGAGCATCGCCGAGTCATGACTCACCCGAGCCAAAAACAAAACCAAAAAAAAAACAAAACTAATCTTTTTTATCTGTTTTTCAATATAATTGGAATGTAAATAGAGATTATTAAAAACTAAATAAATTTAGAGAGAGAAAATAAAGGCTTTTAGAGAGAGAGAGAGAGAGAGAGAGAGAGAGAGAGCGGTTGCATGGAAATGAAGGAGATTGAGGGGGGATTATAAAATGGGGGAGAAAGGAGATGGAAGTGTACTTTTGGAATTTTGAGATTTAGACTAGAGTTGGAAGATTAGAGGATCACGGTGGATCGTTCGTTAGAAAGAAATGAAATGACGGCTTCACCCTTCACAGATAAAAAACGCCCTGCTTCGGTGCTTACTTGCTTTTTTGGGTTATCGTGCGCGTGTTCCTGTCGTTTCGGATTTTTCGATTTGGTTTTTTGAAAAATTAAACCAAATTTATTTGAAAAATATAAAATCTAAAAATTTGGTTATTTTCATATAAATTTTTTTAAAATGAAGTGTAAAAATTAGTTAATACAGTGAACTTTTCAAATCTCATAAATTTCGAGGTTGTATCATTTTTTATTAAGATATATTTACAAAATTAATACATATATCTTCATTCAATTTGAAGAATTTAAAAATTTATTGATAGCATTTAAAATAAATAATTCTAAAATAAATTATAGTTATTATTCAATATTAAAAAACAATAATAAAAAATAAAGAAAAAAGTCCTTATAATTAAAAATGCCTAAAACAAATACTGAGTGCATTATAGGATAAATCATGCAAATGTTATTAGCTCTTAGTTATCATATTTGATTTAGAATGTGAATTATGAAGCAAATTGTTCCCTTTCTTTAATTAATTTTATAATATGATTCGAAAGATGATTTATTACATGATTATTGAATCAATATAATTTATTTGTTGTTATGCATTTGTTTGTTCTTATGGAAAATTTTGTGAATGTCACTTTTTGATAAGGATATTTCACTTGTATGACAAAAAAATTATATAATTGTAGTTTAAAATATATTATTAGGATTGACATTTTCTAGTTAAACCGACATGATGTCGTTAGAATGTTTAGCTAAAACTTATATAAATTTTATAAAATGACCGGTTCATTGCATTTGGATGAAAAATTATATGCCATTTCGGTTAAGACACAACTGAATTTGCATGTCCAAAGCAGACAACAGCTTGCTATTTGGGACAATAAAATGCACATTTCATACTACTCTTTACGTCAGACAAAAAACGTGTTTACAATAGCATCATTATTGCAAAATTAAAAAATTTTAAACATCTTAGTATTTTGTTTAATAATAAATATAAATATAAATTTGAAATTTAATTCATGTCGTCGACAGATTAAAAATGTGGCATTTAACAAATTTTGAATTTAAATCATAGTATTTATAATTTTTATTCCTAAATTGAATTTTTTTAATATATATATATATATACATTTTATTTAATAATTATTTGAATCTCTACTTTACAAAATTAAAAAAATAAATACATTATTTAATAAATGTATTGTACTAACTAAAGATAAATCAAATAGATTCTCTAATTATGTTCATAACTAAGAAGAAGAATAGTGCAGAAGCAACCATAAATTTTCAATTTTACAGGTGCGATTAGTCAATTTAATCTAAATTACACAATATATCTTTAATTCTTTATTAAAGAAAGAAAAAAATTTTACTTTTAAATCTTTATTCCATAAGATCATATATCTACATAATTTTTTTATATAAATAAAATTACAACTTAAGAATAAAAAAAAAATTAAATGTTAAATTTTAAATTATAAATCTACTAGATATCATATCTTAAAAATAATTATATAAAGTAATTTAATTAAATTTTAAATTCATAACTAAATAATATTTCAATCACAATGATAATTACTGATAAGAATATCAAGTGTTAATATTTTTTACTTTGGGATGTTTAGAAAAAAAATCAAAAATTTTGTTCAAAACTATGGGATATAAAAGCCATTACGTGCAGTTTTAAGGACAATTTTAGGATGTAAAATAGGGAGGCACAGATTCACCAAAATCTGACTATAATTTTAGGATAATTTTTAAGAATTTTATTTTTCAAACATTTCATTACTTTTAATGACCAAACTGCCCCTTATTTAAAAAAAAAAAAAACTTTGATTTGGTTGGGATGATTCATTTGAAGGTGTTTCAAATCAATTAGGACTCCTTTGGAAGCCCTAGTGGGAGACTACTGGACCAATTAAAGAAAGCCACATGGAATCAAGTTGTAGCCTACATTGGCCTTAGGTGGGGATTGAGTTCATGATCACCGTACATGTGTACGACAGAGAATAATGAGATTTTCCTTTTCCTAATCTACCAAAGTTTTGTCTTTAGCCAGGGATTGATTTTCGTATTGTAATTTAAGTAATTAAAAATTTTTAAAAAAATTTAATTCAATTAATTTATATTATATTTTTTAAAAATTTTATTAAATAAACTTAAATTTTAAATCATAACATTTATAATTTTTGTATTATGTTCAAATTGCCATATCTTTTATAACAAAAAAAATTCTTTCGGTCCTAAAATTATAATGGAATTACTAAGTTGAATATCTTGATGGGCGGTCGCTATCAAATAAAAGCTCTGTCCAAACCATTTTATGTCATTGCCATGGTTAACTAATATAATATAAAAAGCATATTAATTTTATTTTAAAGTTTTTGGATAACATATTTTGCAAATAAATAATCTTATCCCCTACTTAAAAAATTATAAAAGTTTTCACTACTTTATTTAATAATAAACAAAATATTTTCACATAAATTTATTATTAATAGTTATTTCAATCATTTCTATTTTTAATTAATTTTTGTTTATTATCATATTTAATTTTATATCATTAAATATCAACCATAAATTCAGATTAAAGTGCATTATTCATTTTTAAATAAAGTAATGAAAATTTTCACTACTTTTAAGTAGTGAAGCAAATTTTCTCAAATAAATAAGGAATAAGTAAAAAAAAAAAATGAGTAATTTTAAGTGTTAATTTTTTTGTCTTTGATTATAATAATTAGATTTAACTTAGTTGGTTTATTCTATCTCAAATGAGATTTAAGAGTAAATTTTATTCCATATGAAAAGCCTTAATTTGGATCTAAAATATTATTTTTATGTGAGAATCTAAACAATTGTTAAAATGTACAAATACATATCAAACTTATCATCATTTATCCATATAATTTGTTATTAAACCATAGTCAGGATAAGTTTGACTCTTACCAATCTTATCGACAAGGCATAAACCTGGCAGCATATCCCCACCCTAACATTTATTTATATATATATATCGAAGAAAAGAACAAAGTAAGAAAGAAATGGACCACAAAATCCCCGACTCACCAACCAATTTCTTAACCATTTGAATTCTAGACCATATCCAATGTATTTTAATAATGTCAGACACAAATATTTTTTCCAATCATAAAACAACCTTATCTCAGGACAAAATATAAAAGCTAGCTTTGCACGGACACGTGAAGGTACTTAATCGGGTTTTTGTCTTTTATTCTTTGGATGATGAGAGAGAGAAAGAGGAGAGAAAAAGGTGGGGGGGATGAAGCAAAGCCTAAGATGGCAATTGAAAAGTCAAGGTTTGGGGCCATTTTGCTTTGTGTGCAAGAAAAAAACAAAGGGTTCTCTCCTTTTATTCTCTCAACGGAGAAAAAGGAGGGAATGGCATAAAAAAGTATTGTTATCTTGAAGGTGAACTGAACTTCCAGGAATCTTTGAGCTAACTGCATGACTATTGCCACTGCTTCTATCAGCTTGAGATTGAATAAATAGTAAGTAAAATCTCATTGGCTGTGTGAACACAGATTTTACAAAGAAAGCCATTGCACCGTGTGGTGGTGTTGGATTTGATTTTATCCCTTTCCTCTTCCCAAAGGTTTTCTGTTTAATTGTGAAAACAAAATGGATCATACTTTAACCCAACGACCATTTAAGTGGTGGTACCTTTTCTTTTAAATTTTAAAGAAGTTTAAGGTTTTGGATTTGATAATTTTTTAAAAAATCATAGTTTGAAAATGAAAAATTATAAATATTAATATTTAAATTTTAAATATTAAATATTATATTTTAAAAGTAGTTTTATGAATCATTAAATTAAATTTTGAGTTTTAAATTTTAATTTTTGAATTTTTTGCCAATAAATTTAAAGTTATATTTAGATAATCAATGCATCGTAGTGAAAGTTCTTATTAATCAATGTATTGATTTTTTTTTATTGGATCCATATTTTTATTGCAGCGTTTCATTCATTCAAATATACTTTTATTACATGATCAACCTAGTATGGATAAAATTGCTAAAAGTTTCTGTCGTTGTGTACTTCAAGTTATCCTTTTAAACTAGTGGAGTTTTTATTTATCCAATTATATTAATTTTGCATTTTATGCATATCAAAATGTGTGGTTATATCCCAAGGAAAGCCCCTTTGATGTTCAATGTTGTAAACTCAAAAAAAAAAAAAAGAAAAAACGAGAGAAAATTTTTTTTTTAATCAAGATTGGATTTTTTGTGAGAAATATGTGAAAATAACAGTTTAAGTGCACCATATTGATACATGGGAGTAGGCCTTTAAAATTGCTTAAAAAATTAGATTCAAATAAAACTTGAGATATTCTAATCAAATTATAAAAAGAATACTAAATTTTTAGTTTCAATGGTAAAATTAAAATTTTGATAATTTTAAATATAAAAAAAAAAAAATAAAGAACCTTCAATTATGTAAATTTAAGCTAAAATACTAAAAAACCTTAAACTATTCTACTTTTATAAATAAATTCTTATACTTTTATTATAGCCAAAGAAATATCTATTTTTTAATTGTATCAAAATAAATCTTATTTCAAATGAAAGATTAATTTATATTAAGAGTTTATTTAAGTACAAATTAAAAGTTAATAGATTATTTGGGTATAAATTAAATGTTAATGACTTATTTGGGTGTTAATTAAATATTAAATATTTATTTAGGTGTAATAAAAGTATATAAGTTTTTAGAGTAAAATTCTAAATTTTAAAATTTTTTTATTATTTTAATCTAAATTAATTCTCTAAGATCATGGTTGATGTATGGATAACAATCATTTTATACTATAATTTATTTGTATTTAAACAAATAGATAAGATTGTAAGAAGAATTAATCATTTTCTTGACATAGAGTAATTTAATCATCCTAAAGCGAAAATAATTATATTTAA